CTTAGTGTTAGGGTTAGACTTTTAGGGTTAGGGTGAGGGTTAGACTTTTAGGGTTAGGGTTAGGGTTAGACTTAGGGTAAGAGTTTGGGTTAGTGTTCAGGTTAAGGTTAGACTTAAGATTAGATTTAGGTTTAGGGTTAGGGTTAGACTTAGGGTTAGGGTTAGACTTTTAGGGTTAGGGTTAGGGTTAGACTTAGGGTTAGGGTTAGACTTTTAGGGTTAGGGTTAGGGTTAGACTTAGGGTAAGGGTTTGGGTTAGTGTTAAGGTTAAGATTAGACTTAAGATTAGATTTAGGTTTAGGGTTAGGGTTAGACTTAGGGTTCGGGTTAGACTTAGGGTTTGCCTTCAAGACTGCTGTCTTAACCCCCCAGGTGCTCCTTGGAGGAAAGGCCTGGCGACCTGCCTTTTGAAAGGTCAGAGCCTCAAGGATTCCATGGCTTGCAGTTCCACTCTGCACCACCAGGGATTGCCAGGAGTTCTTTTGGTCAACCCCAAGATTGAGCGTTCAGATTTACCCAGAGTTGCCTTGCAGGAAGATGACCTCCGTGGAGTGTCGCTCTCCTCTGACACCCAGGGGTCATCTCCATGGGTTGGAATCAACGACACAGGCTGGTTTTTCAGGAAAGTAAACTTTTGGATGGTAATTTCTTCCCCCCTCCCTACAACAGTAATCATAAGCCATCAAATCGATTCCACATCATAGGGGCCCTATAGGACAGGGTGGAGCCACGCGGTGAGTTTCTGAGACGGCAACTGTTTATGGGAGTAAAAAGCCCAGTCTTTCCCCTGCGAAGCTGCTGGCAGTTTCAAACTGCCGGCCATGATAAGTGTAGCCCAACACATAACCACTATGCCACCAGGTAACTCCCTGATGGGCGTAGGAAACCCTTCCTCTCTCTTGTGGAGCACCGGTGGGTTTGAACTGCCGTCGGGGCTACTGAGAGTCGTGATTCAATCAATTAAGACAGAAAAGAGATGTTCGGGGCTCACAGTACAGATCCACTGTGGATCAGAAAGGGCTCTGCTTTTGAAGCCACCCAGGGATCTACGTTGATGGAGTGGCACCCACCTCCAATTGTCACACAGAGGGAAAGAGAGCCTGGGGGAGTCTGCATTGGCTCATAGAGTTTCCGCCTGGAAGGGATTCATGCCACTTGTACCCACATTGATTGGCCGAAGCAAATGGGTAGGAGGTTCAATCCTATACAGAGCAGATTTGCCCTCGTGGGTCTGTAACTGTTTATGAGGGTAGAAAGCCTCGTCTTCCTCCGTCTGAGCACCTGGTAGTTTCAAACCCCTGACCTTGTGGTTCGTAGCCCAACTCATAAGCCACTGTGCCACTAGGGGCTGCTCGTCTTATAGCAGAAGCCAGAGAGTTGTCAGGCTTACGTGCCACTCCATGGGAGGGCCAGGTCATGCTCATATTATTTTAGGCTCATCATTTTGGAGTTGAATGATTAGCTCCACTCACATCCCATTGGCCCAAGCCAAGCCCTGACCAGCTGCTCGGGAAGCTGGGGCGTCGGGTCTTTAGCTGCGGGACAGTAGAGAGAGGGTGGCCCTAGCACTTCGGTCGCAGCAGCACCTTGGGGACCCCCAACGCCAGAGGTGTCGCCATTTCCAGAACACGCACTTCCCACCTTAGTTTCACGTTTCCAAGACGTTATTTGTAAATGAGAAAGTTTTCACGAACTCGAACGATCACGTTAGAAATGTGGCATCTTCTGTTTCGACTGGTCTTATTTATTGACACTCCGCATCGTTTCAAAACATATTCAAGAGACTTCCGCACGTGGGAGGCTAACACGCTAGTTGCAACTCTCTTTACCCCTTGCCTTTCTTTCAAGTGTAGGTTGTAATGTAAAGGCAGCCCCCCCGACCCCCCAGATACTGAAACCACGTCTTCATTGTGGTAACTCTGTCCAGACGGGGGATGGACAAGGCAGTGTCCCCTTCAGCAGTCTTCCCGTGGACACTTCCGTGACGGAGCCTATTCATCCTGCTGTTCGACCATCACCCTTGTCTGGTCCCACAGTTCCATCCTAAAATATTTGGTAAGGAGTCTAGCCAACCCCACAGGGACTTGTTTTGCGAGTTGGAAATTTTATCTTCTGGTCTTTCGTAAAAATGTTCTAAACACTTTGCCCATCTCCAGAAGTCAGTGCCATCTCACTTAACCCGTGGATGCTCCCTGGAGGGGGCTGCATGGAAGGGCTGGATCGTGCATCTGCCACTTTGTCAAAATCACACCCCGACAACAACTCGGAGGAAATGCATGTCAGCCCCTGGTGTCCCAGGAAGCACCGCCCGCCCGCCGCCACCCAGTCTCTCAGGAAGTGCAGTCCCCTTGGTGGGACCCAAAGGGCAGCAGAAACTTGATATAAAGAAAAGGTTTTGCAATATCTTGGTGGGTGTGTGCACTTTAGACGATCAATGTAAGCGCTCGCTGGTGTGTGTGTGTGTGTGTGTGTGTGTGTGTGTGTGTGTGCATGTGTGTTGGGAGCAATTCCCCAAAACTGTGGTGGAAATCAACTGACTCTTTGGATCTATTGGATTGAGGGGACAAGGCCAAGGCCTGCCACCCCCGCCAACTACTCTCTCCTCCCCCCCTCCCCCGCCCCCGCCCGGCCCTGATTGCTTCTCCCAGACGGACTAGAGAATTTCCCCAGAGCCACTCCTCGGTTTCTTTCCTCTGGCAGCAAACGACACGCCTGCTGAGCCAGCCCTGTTTTCGGAAAGTCAGATGACCTCCCCTCCCCAGCCACCAGCCTCACCCAGCCGCAAGGTGCACACCATGGACTCTCTGGTGGCTCTCCTTTGCCTGCTGCCCCTGTGCCCAGGTAGGAGGCAGGGCAGGGGCGGTGTCAGGGTCCTGTGGCGGGACCGCGTGTCGCCGCCGTGTGTGGACGGGACAAGCACCTGGGCTTTCCCTTCCTCCTGACGGCCACCCTTCTGCCCCGTCTGTCTGTGCCTTTGTGCCCACAGGCCTGGCGGCAGCCAGCCCCTCCTGCCCGCAGAACGTGAACATCTCCGGAGGCACCTTCACCCTCAGCCACGGCTGGGCCCCCGGGAGCCTCCTCACCTACTCCTGCCCCCTGGGCTACTACCCCTCCCCTGCCTCCCGGTTGTGCAAGGGCAACGGACAGTGGCAGACCCCTCAAGGCACCCGGCTGACAAAGGCCATCTGCAAACGTGAGGCTCTTTCTGGGCTGGCCTGGGGCACCCCGCTAGTGGCTACTGCAGGGCTTCTAATGTGCCGCTCCAGGCAGGGTGGGGTCTGCCCGGAAGGGAGGGGAGGGTGGGCAGAGCTGGGCTTTCCAAAATATTGGGTCCTGGGTGTCCTAAGTGGTGGGTGACAGGCTGCTAACCGAAATGTGGATTGTGTCGTGGAATAAAGGTCTGGCCAGCTGCTTCCATAAAGATTCCGGCCAAGAAAGCTCTGTAGCACTAAGGGGTCTCCTCCAGGCAGAGGGGACTCGACAGCCCTGGGGTTTTGCACTTCTCTCCCAAACTTCTCAGAATGGCCAATCGCGCATAGCAGGAACACAGGGTCAGGTTCAGAGAGGTCGTGGATCATTCTCAAGTCAGGGGCAATTAGAACTACAACGGTCATGCATCGCTTAACATCCCTGATGCGTGGTGTGAACTAGGGCGCTCTGTGCCGTGGACGTGCATGAGCACCAGGTGACCCGGAGTCTGGCACTGGCTGCTCTCTGAAGTCGTCCAGTCCAATTTGAGCATCACTTGGAACGGCGAGGCACCTAACCGATGTCAGCTGACACACAGTCGACATCCCAGAAACGCGTCCCGAGGCGTGACAGCATCACTCACCTGCTGATGGGACTAGCAATGTTTTCCTGCGTGCTGTAAAGTCACCCCCGCCCGTTGTCAGTTGGGTGATGCCCAAGCAGATGCCACGTCGTGGTACATGACGTTTTAATAATCAGCTGGGCAAGACTGTCCATTCAGAGTGAATGCCCAATGAGCGGGCTCCTGGAGACCCTCGTGCCAGGGACTCCCGTCTCTGGGCGATGAGAAATGTGAGGGTCACAGGGCAGGGGCAGCGGAGGCCCGCAGGGAGCTGAGAGGAGTTCAATTAGCCTTGAACTACATGAAATTGTCCACATCCAACCAAGTGCCGAACATGACAATTTCATGCGTCTCAGCCTATCAATTCAATCGTTTGGCCACCAGATGGCCATTCCCACGCATCTCTACTGGACATTTGCCTACCCCCTCACCCATCCCGTCCTCAGTCCCTCCCCCACCTACTCAACGCCGGGCCCAGTCCTCAGCCAGCCGGGTGCTCACCCCGTGGCGCACACCCCTCCCCTCTCCCCCGCCAGGTGTCCGATGCCCAGCGCCTGCTGCCTTCGAGAATGGCGTGTACACCCCACGTCTGAGCTCCCACCCCGTGGGCGGCAACCTCAGCTTTGAGTGTGAGGATGGCTTCCTATTGCGGGGCTCCTCTGTGAGACAGTGTCGCCCCAACGGCATGTGGGACGGAGAGACGACCGTGTGTGACAGCGGCTGTGAGTACAGGGACCCCCGGGCCGCCCCGGGGGCTGGGTGAGGAGACGGGAGCTCAGGAACGTTCCTGGGTTTGGGTCCGTGGGAGTCTCTGGGCCACCGCTCACACGTCTGTACTTCCACATAAACCTTCCACCCTCTGTCCAGCTCTTTGAAACGCCTCAAAGCAGGACTTGCTATCCAGACCCCACACATAGTTCGAGGGCCGTAAGTCAAGAGAGAGTCGATACTGTGCTTCAGTGAGCCATCTGTGGCGTGAGGTTCGAACTCAAAGCCTGGTTTGGCCCTTTCCTGCCTCGGGGCGGGTGATTTCCCCTCTCTCTGCCTCCGTCCTTGCACCTGTAGAGTGGCCAGAGGCACAGGGCTGGCCTCTTGGAGGGACCATGTGATGTGATGAGAGGAGTCCATAGAGGTCAACATCTAGAGCAGGCCTGTCAAACTGGCGGCCACATGCGGCCCCCCGAGGAAATTGTTTGTGGCCTGCGATGCTCTGAAATAAAACGAAAATAGAAAAAAATTGTTAGGGAGAAAATAGCGCTTAGGGGAGATCGAGGCAATACCGTGCACACAGTTCCCTCGTTAACCCTTTAACTACTGACGACGAGTATACACGTGGCCCGGTGCCTTTCCTGAGGGCCTGTGGACGAGTATAAACCCGCTGACTCAGTTCCAGAGACGTTTGGAAGCGATGTGTCTGCCACTCTCAGTGCCACATCATGCAAACAGATCCCAATAGTGAAAAGGTTAAAAGGAGCACTCTGGGTGGTGCTGTTAGGAATCACACCTAGCGGCAGCGCTAGTTAACATTTTTAGAGGGAAGTCATTGTGATTGTGCATCACGTTTGCCAGCTGTCCAACATGTTGTGTATTTTATTAGTTACTTTGTTCTATTTTCTGGTCACAACATCAGAGGTCAGTGAAAACGAGTAGGAGGAAAGCACTGGCAAGTTTCGGGTAAAAAAAGAATAATTTTAGTTTTATAAATACATTAAATAAAATAAATGTTTAGGTAAAAGCAATTACATAGTGTTTTAATGATCCTACCCATATTCCTGAATCCTCACGTCGAAATATAAAGTTAACAAAGTTTGTCAATGTGATGTGGTCCGCGTGGATCTTGCCTGTTGCACCAAACGGCGTGCGTTTTAATTGAGTGTGACAGCCCGGCTCTAGAGCACTGCCCGGACTCTGGGGGCACACATGCGATTTGTCGTGGCCGGCACTGCCCGTGGGAATGACGAGGGCCCTGCTGTGGCTCCGAGGACTCCCCAGAGTCCTATTTGGTTGTGGATTTGGGGTGCTTCCAGGAGGATGTGCATGTCCTGAGCACATCATTCAGGAAGACACGGAGTCCTCAAAAGGGCAGGCATTACCCTCACCAGTGCCCCAACTGACTGCTTCCTAGTCAGGCGTTTGGATTTTTCCCAAATTGCTCTCTAGTGAAATATAAATAAGATTTATTTTAAAATCGAGATATAATTTGCCTATAGGAAAGTATACACATCTTCCGTTTCAGCTTGATGAATTTTTACATGTGTAACTTTGTAGACCATGTTAATTACCACCTGAAACAGCGAACATTTCCAACACCCCAGGAGCCTTCTCATTGCTCCCACCCGGTACATCCCCTTCTCAGACATAACTAGTCTGACTTCTAACTCGATGGTTGAGTCTAACTTCTTCCTGAACTTCATGTAAATGAAATCATACAGGAGATCGATCCTCTTGCATCTGACTTCTTTCACTCAGCATTAGAGTGATGCCATTCATCCACAATATAGGTCGTTGTTCTTTTTGCTTGCTCTGTAGTATTCCCTTCTGTGACCGTACTACAATCACCTGTTCATTCTCCCATGGATGGGCGCTTGAGTCGTTTCTCGTTTTGAGCTGCTATAAAGAGAGTCCTGTGAGCCTCCTTGCACGGGTCTTTGGTGCACATGTGCACTAGTTTCTTGTAAATAGCTTGGAGTGGAAGTGTCCCATCACAGGTTAGGGTATGTTTCGATTTAAGCTGGCAAATCCTTTCACCGATCGCCACCCCTGCCATACAACTGAATTCTGGTTGTTCCAACATTTGGAACGATCCAGCCTTTTAGTTTTCGCCACTCTGGTGGGTTTGTAGTGATGGCTCGTTGTGGTTTTGTGAAACGCAAATATTGTTGATGGAGGCTTGTCGACTGATCTAGTTCCTGGGCTCTGGGACTTGGGCTACCCCAGGGTTTGGGCTGAAATGGAAATGTTCCAGATGACAACTTAAGCCTCCAAGTTCTAGGCTCTTCACCCTGCACAGTTTTCCATTTACACTCCCAGGAAGCAGAGTTCTGGTATGGGGCACCACAGGGATTCGGAGCATCTGGAGATCCTAGAGGGAGAGGTAAGTGAGCAGGGCTGAGAGGCAGGCGTGCCCTGCTCATCCCTGTCTTACTGTGTTCACTCACAGCTGGCCATTGTCCTAACCCGGGGATTCCAGTGGGCGCCGTGCGGACTGGCTCCCGCTTTGGCCTTGGGGACAAGGTCAGGTACCGCTGTTCCTCAAGCCTGATTCTGACGGGGTCCACAGAGAGAGAGTGCCAGGACACTGGGGTCTGGAGTGGGACAGACCCCATTTGCCGCCGTAAGTAGCAGCCTGCCCTGCCTGAGCTCCCCGAACACCCGCTCACCCCCGCTTCAGCTGACACCCCTGAATCTCTTCTCACAGAACCCTACTCGTATGACTTCCCGGAAGACGTGGCCCCCGCCCTGGGCTCCTCCTTTTCCCACATACTCGGAACCACCAATCCCACCCAGAAAAAGCAAGGTGAGCGCAGCAGGGGCAGGGGCGGGAGGGAAGTCCTCCCAGGAGGTTAGACTCAGGGGCTGTTGAGTTAAAGGGAGGCCTTGACCCCTTTGGCTAAAGTGCAGATAATGGGTGGAGAGCCGACTTCCTGTTCTACCTTTCTCTCAGAAAACCTGGGTCGTAAAATCCAAATCCAGCGCTCGGGTCACCTGAACCTCTACCTGCTCCTGGATGCATCCCAGAGTGTGGCAGAGGACGACTTCGACGTCTTCAAGAAGTGCGCTGCCGTCATGGTGGACAGGGTCAGGAATCAGGGACCTGCGCGCAGGGGAGGCTTTCCTGTGCTCCCTGCTCCCCTTTGCCTCCTCTGTCTCCATCGCCTACCCTGCTCGCTTCCTCCAAGAAATCTTTCCAGACCATTCTGACAGGATCACACCTGTCCCTGCATTCTCAGGCCGCCTACCGTGTGTCGGCCACTTTGCCGGCTGCTGCTGGGGGCGGGGGAGCCTCTGAGAGGTCCAAATGCGGATGTGCTCGGGCTACAAGGCTGGTAGTGCCAACCTGCGCAGAGGTGCTTAGGAAGAGAGACGTGGTGACCCACTTCCGAACATTCCCAACTACGGGGAAACCCTATGGCGCGCAGTCCTCTTCTGACGCACCTGGGTCAAATTGAGTCGGAAGTGGCTCAGTGGCGGTGGGTTGGCTGGTTTGGTGCCAGGGGAACCGAAGATGACCTTGGCTGAGGTCGGACTGTCCAGAAATGTGTTGTTTAGGACAGTGCCTCTCCAGAAAGAAGGCTCGATAATCCAGGGGGCTTTGACAGCAAGAAAGAATGGTATCCATCTGTAAGGAATTCCATCTCTCCCATGAAACATTTTTTGAACATTTCACGTATGTTTTAACATGCCTTTGTTTGAACAGTGGCCCCCTTACATAATTTATGCTGTAAATGTACCTCTACCGAGGTGTGTGCTCAAAATACTTTGATGCCTGTGACGTGCCAACAGAAGCGTGTGGAGGTCGCTGGCTTAGATTGCTCATTGGCACGTGGATTTTAAATGAAGCTGTTTGTAGTGATTTATGTAATGGAACCCTGCTGGCCTAGTGGTTACACATGGGACTAATGAAACGTAAGGTCAGCCATTCAAAACCACCAGGCTTTTCTACTCCTGTAAAGAGTTACAGTCTCAGAAACCGACAGGGGTGTTCTACACTGTCCTACAAGATTGCTACGAGTCAGAATTGACTCTACGGAGTGAGTTACATACGAGGGGGTATCTCCCCTAAAAAACGGAATTGCACTGGGCAGCACGGAACTTTTGAAATACGCATTTTTGGTGAGCATCCAGCAACTTGCTCTCGGTTAGTGCACCCAGTGGCGTCACCTGGGAAGGTTCTCTCTGGTCACAGTGAATTTTTTCATAAAAGCAATTTCACTCAAACCTCGTTTTTTGTGATGGCCGATTTAAGAGAACAGCGTGTGGTTGTGAAATTTTGTTTCATGCTTGCGGAAAAATGCCGCAGAAACTGCTGTGATGTTGAGCACAGCTTGCAAGGACAGCGCTATGGGAAACACTCAAGTGTAGGAGTGGTTTTCTCGTTTCAAAAAAGGTGAAATGTCAATTGATGACAAACCTCGTTCTGGACGTCCATCCACTCCTCACAGGTGAAAATGTCCACCCCTGGTTAATTTGGAATTTGCTCCACCAGGTCAGACTGCGAATCAAGCTTTCTATTTAGAGGTTCTGAAAAGATAGCAGAACACTGTGTGACAAAAAAGGCCTGATTTGTGGCCGACGGAGGACTGGTTTTGTTTCCGCAACAACGCGCCTGCTCACACAGCCATCTCAGCGCGCCAGTTTGGAACAAAACCCAGCTTGCCTCTCTTGCCCCACGCACCTTACTCACCTGACCTCGTTCCGCGGGACTTCTTTTTGTCTCCCCCAATGAAGAGGGACGTGAAAGGACAGCAATTTGACTGCGTAGAAGAGGTGAAGAAAACAAAACAAAACGAGGGAGAGACGCTATCAGCTCTCCAAACAGAAGAGTTTGAAAAAATGTTTCCAAGAATGGAATTGCAGATTTGACAAATATATTAAGTGCAATGGAGAGTGCTTTGAAGATGATAAGGTTGCTTTGTAAAAAAAAAACAAAAAAAAAAAACCCTAGCTTTGGGGGAAGGAGGAATTCTGGGTTTGGGGGGAGGGGTCCCCCCTTGCATTTGCTTTTCTTCTCAGCTCTGTCTTAGCGGCACCACAAAACGTAGTGCCTGTGGTCTGCTTGCAGCCAACAAAATCCGACTGAGCACTTCTAGCGTACAGCACCTGGGGTCACCTTGAGTCAGAATCCGTTAGAAGGCACCTGACCCCGACCTCCTAGACGGGCAGAATCTCTGGAAGTCAAGCAGCTCCCTTGACTGTGAGGCTGCAAAGCACCATCATCAGAGATGTGCCCCCACTGGTGTGCTGCTGGGGTTCAAATCCCACCTCCTGCTTGTATCAGCCGTGTGATCTGGGGCAGGCGAATCCATGTTAATGTCTCCATTCACACCATGGGGGGGACGCTGACGCGGGGAACAGATGAGGAGCATGCCCGTGTGAGAGCAGGCGCCACATGGATGGTCTTTCAAGGACCGTGTGTTGGTGTGTGCCCACCCCTGCCTCTTGGGCCACACCTGTCACACCTGCTCTGGGTCTCGACCTCCTTGCTGCCTCTCTCACTGTTGCTTCTCTGATTGTGAGGCCCTTCACGCTGACCCTCAATCTTCCTTCACAGCTCTTCAGCTTTGAGATCAAGGTCAGCGTTGCCATCATCACGTTTGCTTCCAAGCCCCAGATTGTCATGTCCATCTCAGACGACAACTCGCAGGACGTCATGGAAGTGACCAGTAGCCTGGAGAGTGCCAGCTATAAAGGTATAACCGAGGGCCGTCGTGCAGAGTGTGTTTAGGGCGACCACCCTACGTGGGGTTTTAAGGAGCCCTGATGGCAGATTGGGTTCGGCGGTGCACTGCTAGCTAGAAGCTCAGCTTCGAACCTACAAGCCATTCCGAGGAAGAAAGATAAGGCTGTCTATTCTCCTGACGACGGACAGGCTTGGAAACCTGCAAGGGCAGCTTAACTCTGTCCCGTAGCCTCAGCAAGGTTGCTTTGCGCCCCCCCACCCCCAGGGAGTTTCCATATCACTTGCAGTTAGCAGTCCAAAGCCTAGTTCACGATGCCTCCAGGGAGGTGATAGGAGAGGAGGGGACGACGCCCGTACTTGTAGACAGATTCTGGACAAGTTCCAAAGAAGGAGCCCGCTCGGTGGCATGCAGTTCTTGAACTCGGGGCTGCGGTTCCTGAAATGGGAATTGGCTTCCAAATCCAGGGTCTTGGTGCGGGTGGAGGGTCCCAAATCCCGTCAGCCCGTGGTTTGGTCTGCAGAGTTTCAAGCCCACACGCCTCCGACAGGTGTTCTGTTCCTTCTTGATGTCAAAGCACAAAGGACTTAGGACTTCCGGGGTCCTGAGAAGTCAGTCTGGTTTTCAGGGCTCAGCACATCGTCTTTCTGGATGGATACAGCTGGACTCGGTAGGGCAAAGTGGTTGGCAGCAAATGGCTTAAACAAGCAAGTTCTTTGGAAATCCCGTTGTGGGATTTGGGAGTTTAGGGGATTTTAGAGCAGCATTATCCAGGAACTGTTATGCAATGAATGTTTCTAAGGCGGAAAGACTTTCGATGTGTGAATCGACTATGATGCGAAAGTTATATCTTTATCTATCTCTCCGTAGATGCGAAATCTGTATCTTTAATTAAACTCCGATCATTAAATTATCTTATTGAAGTTAGTTTGATTAAGTTTAATTAAAGCAGACAATAAAACGCGTCCCCATGTTTAGGGGAGAGAGCGACCTCCTCCCCCAGGGTGATGGAGGTCTAAGAGAACCCTTCTTGGCATATTCCAGACCATGAAAATGGAACGGGGACCAACACGTACGAGGCCCTGCACAGTGTCTATATCATGATGAATAACCAGATGCAGCGCCTTGGCATGAAGACCCTGGCCTGGCAGGAGATCCGGCATGCCATCATCCTCCTGACAGATGGTGAGTATCGCGGTCTCTGCGCGTGAGGGCAGAGGCCGGCCCTCTGGCTCTCCTCCCGCCAGGTAAGACCACAGCTCCTCATCTGTAAGGCGGCCGCAATGTTGAGGACCACAGCAGTGTCGGCAAGGAGGATCGCTGCTTTCTTTTCCGTGCGCATGTTTTACGCAGACGCTTTGTGACGAGGAAAGCGTCGTTTCTGCGACCACCACCGGGGAGGGAGACTGTGAGGCTGAGGGACCTGCAAGGAAGGCGCGGTCTAGGGGCTCAATCCGGGCTTTGCCATTCTGCCCTTTATCTTTTGATTTTGTGGAAAGGACCCTCCAAGACTCTGCTAGTGGTTCTCATCTACAAAATAAGGAACCCAGACTCCCCAGGCTGAGCATGAACGCGAAGTGAAACCAAGTGTATGGGGCTCCTGACCCAGCGTCTCAAAGCTAACATCTTCCAGCATGTCGCATATTTTAAAATTCACCTAGGAAGTGCTTGGGGTCTGTGTGGGTGATCTAGTGCGGCTAGAGCAGAAATACCGCAGGTGGATGGGATGAACAAGCAGAAATTATTTTCGTCACCGTTTAGGAGACCAGCTGTCTGAATGCAGAGCCAGCTTGAGTGGAAGGATTTCTCTCTGTGTTCGCGGGCAGGAAGGAAGGGCCTTGTCTGGTCAGCTTCTACTTCTTGGTTCTTTGGCGCTCCCACGTCTTGAGATCCGTCTTATCCCATCTCTTCTCTGCCTCTGTAACACAATACGGCCAACCCATTCCCAAAGGAGATGAGAGCCACAGGCATGGGGTTAGGATTTACAATGTACATTTGGGGGGGTGGTGGGGGATGTTGGTCAGTCCGTAGCATTCTATCTTTGGACCCCTCCCCGAATTTCTGTCCTGACCACCTGCAAATCACCATGCAAGAGTGGCACTGACCCACCCCTCTAAGGATGGCCTGGCACACCCCTCTGACTTCCCAGCACGGAAGGACAGTCAAACCTAGCATCAGCCCAAGGCCAATTCCCCTAAGGCAGAGGTCAGCCTCTGACCTTCTTCCCTTGTCTGACTCCAACTGTCTCTCCCATGCGCTCTTGACCTCTCTGCTGGGCTTGAGCATTCACTGCGATGGCCACACAGACCTCACAGGTCATGCTTCCGAGGACGGGGTTGATGGAGGAAGTTAACGTGCTGCAGTTGAGGGTTGGACGTGTCCCTTGGTCTGGGGCACCTCCTCTCAGCCGCGCCCATGGGCACACCTTTCTGGCCCTAGGCTCTCGGCCACAGGGCTCTTTGCCCTCTGCCCTGCTCAGGCAATGTTACAAAGCTCTTTTAGTTATACCAATACATGCGCCGAAGGCTCCCCACTCCACCAGGGACCTCAGCCGGAAGGCACTCAGTTCTTGCTCTGTGGGTCAGAAGGCACGCAGCTTTCTTGCTCCATATCCGTGAGGCCCATCACTGCCTCCGCTGCCACTTCTCTGGCGCCACGATTCTGTCTCCCGGGTCACGGAGTCTCGGTGAGCAGGAATCTCAGGATCCAAAGGACACGCTCCACTCTGCTCTTCTTTCTGGTTTCTGATACGGTTCGCTTTCAACCCAGCAGGATGGCAAACGGACCCCCCCCCCACTAGATTTCCATACACTGTCTTTGAATGCACCCAGCCCACCATTTGGTAGGCGTTACAAAGGCGCTGACCAGAAGTGCCCTATCGAAGAATTCTCTGCACCACATCCCATCCCATAATTCCAAAAGTCTGAAGTCAACTCCAAGTTCCACATCTCATTTTCTGAAGCATCCAAACCAAATATGGGCGAGGCTTTAGGCATATTCCGTCCCTCTGCGTCTGTGAAACCGAGAGGAAGCGATAACGGTTTTCAAAATACAGTGAACCCTCGTTTATCGCGGTTAATCGGTTCTAGACCCTACCGTGATAAATGAAATTCCGCGAAGTAGGATTCCTTATTTGTAAATCAAATATTTTCGTAGTTAGAGCATAGAGGACATGAAAAAACACCCTTTAGTCACCATTACACTCGTATTACCCAATTTATTAAACGAAAAAGGGAAAATGCAGTAAAACATTTTGGACGTTACAATGATCATTTATTATTTATTATATTATGAAGTAAACGGATGGAGCGAACGGAAGACTCATTCAAGTCAAAATGGCGTGCAACCTCCACGATTTTCTTGCCATCTTTGATCATATCCAAAAGTTTTACCTTTTCCTGGATGGTGAGCATCGTCCTCTGGCGCTTATTTTTATTGTCAGAAGGCTTAGAAGCAGCAGCTCGTTTAGGAGCCATCATAGGGCTTAGATAAAATTTCTTAAAAATCGCAAACAATTACAGTACACTGTACAAAAGCAAAAATGCATCTGATACGTAGCTCCGATACGTAGCGATGCAGACAGAAGCGTGGACAGTATGAGCCAATCAGTGGCAGTAATGACAGAGCATGCGCTGTGACGCAAAAACCGCGATAGAGTGAAGCCGCGGAAGTCGAAGCGCGAAGTGGCGAGTGTTCACTGTACCGTCTTAAAACAGCCTCCTAGTATACAATTCCACCACAAATGGGAGAAATTAGCGCGAGAGAAGGGACACCAGGCACCACGAGGGAACGAAACCCTTAGAATGATGTCCGTCGGCTCTCAAGGGCTGAACATCATGTCTGTCCTCAGAGACCATCTGAGCAAGGCCCTACCCTCCAGACTCTGAGTGTGGTGGGGCCCTCTGGGCTCTGGGCCGCGCCCCGAGCCGGCAGCTCTAGCTCGCCACCTAGGTGCACCAGAGGGGCACCCCTGCCCCCTCCACTGTGAGCACCCCGTTCTTCTAGTCCATCACGCCCTCGGCACTCACAGGCCCTGTCCTGCTTAGCATGGTGGCCCTGTCTCCTCAGCGTTGGTGGCAATCGAATCTCCCTGGCGTATCTGAATCGCAACCCCCCACGCTGGTCCAGAACGCGTGGAGAGCTGATGCTTCGAAACCTAGGAGGTTACGGACAACCCCACCCTTTGGTGCTGGAGAGCCTGACCCCCCACCCTGCTCCTTCCCACAGTTCTACGGGTCTCCAAGCTGTTCCAGGGTCTCCTCTCCGTAGACAACAAACCTGACGCCTGTCCCCTTCTTTTTCCTGCTCGTAGACTTACAAGAGGCCCTGTGCTTCCTCTGTGCTTTTCCGTCGAGACTGATGGGTTTTCTGCTAGGTAGTTGGTTACATTCATCTGTCACGGGGTTCATCGCTTTAACAAGAGACGGTGCAGCCACATCCTTAGGGAAAATTCTAGATACGAGCCCTTAAGGTGTACAACAGAACCGTTCAAGTTCTGTTTCCATTTTCAGCCCGGCTCTTTCCTCTCGTGTGCTCGCCGTTGTGTTTTCGAGCCTCCCCAGAAGCACACGGCAGCATTTCTAGCAAGAGGTAGTTCTCTGTGGCTTTCTTTACTTCCTTCTGAGCCCTGACCAGAAAGCACCCTACTCTTCCAGTGTCAACAGCCGTCTTGGTTACTTAGCGCCCCAGTAACAGAGACACCACAGGTGGCTGCTTTAACAACCAGGGCTTGTTTTCTCAAGCAGTGTAGGAGGCAAGACGCTCCCGTTTGGAGGGCCAGCTCCAGAGGGAATGGCCCTCCTTCTGTAAACTTGGGAGGAAGGTTCCTGTGTTGTCAGCACTGGCTTCGGCTTCCATGGAGATCTCCCTCAGAGGATCTTGGCAGCTGTCCCCCGCCCCCCCATCTCCACTTCCACCTGCCTGCGTACTCCCTTTTGCATTCCGAAAGAGGTGGCCTCAAACCACTCCCTACACTGAAATCTGCTTTATTAACAAAACAAACACAACCCGTTTCCTAATGGCATCGCAATCACAGATTTAGAGACTGTGATGTACAACCTGTATTTTAAGGGAAGATAAGTCAACCCATGACGGGGTCCCAAGGCGGATGCATCTCCATTCTTCCAGGGCTCTTGGGAATCTACCCAGGTGATCGGTCTTTTTCCTTCCTGTTCCAGGGAAGTCCAATATGGGAGGCTCTCCCAAGGCGGCCGTTGACAATATCAAAGAGGTCCTGAACATCAACCAGAAGAGGAATGACTACCTGGGTGAGCTTCCACCTCTCCCCTCAGGTGTCTTTCCCCTGCAGGGAGTCTAGGTCCTCAGCCCAGAGCTGGGTGGGTCTATCTCTAGGGAGACCACAGGCCATATCCTTGTACGGAGGCCAGGAAGTTGTCATGCCGAAGCTTGGGAAGACTTGGGTCAAATTATACCAGCTTCCAGCGTAGGCTCCCTCTAATGGAGTGTGGCCCTGGTAAGGAGATCACAGCACCGGGACCCACCGGACAGTCCAATGGGGAAATGCTCAGACTGGCATGACCTGGCACAGAGAAACATTCCGTAAATGTCAGGTGCTGCCCCCACCATCAACACCGGCTATTCCAGGAATGCCCCAAGGACTGGGCCTCTAGATCTCTTTTGGGGTTCTGCCCAAGGCCTTTCCGCTTTGAGCAGTAGAGATGACTCACAGAGGCTTTGGCAGCTGAGGCCGCAAAAGGAATAAAATGTTCTAACTCAAAACAAGTTTTACTGACAGGCAAGCATCTCACCCAGAGGCTGTTCTTCAGCTGGGGAGGGTCATGCGTGTTGACTAATACGTTTCATGGATCCCTCTTTAAAACTGACCCAAGGAAGAAAAAGTCAACTCCTATAGCCCGGCCTTAGCATCGCCAAGCCAGAGTGAAGTTCTCCAAAGGCTGTTGTCGGCATTCAGCAGGGTATAATGAAGGCGGTGCGTTGTTAGCAAAGAAGGAACAGTAACACCTGGCAACTCCAGGAGTCAGAGAAAGGAGGCGATCAAGAGCAGAGCAGAGATGAATGAAACAGAGGATAGAAAGGCAATAGCATCAACGAAATCAGAGTTGTTGTTTAAGATTAATAAAATCGTCACTCTTTTAACTACATTGACTAAAGGGGGTAGGGTGGGGGGCTGGACAGATGAGGCAAATATAAAACACCAGGAAGTTACAACCAACCACACACAATTCGAAAGGATCCTAAGAGAGTATTACCAAGAACTGTATGCCAACACATTAGATCATTTGGAGGAAATGGAGAAATTCCTAGAAATGTGTGAACTCCCTACATCGACTCAAGAAAAGCAGATCGCAGCAGGCCCATTACAATAAAAAAGATTGAATCAGTGTTCAAAAACCGCTCCCAAAGGAAAATTCCTTATCCAGATAGCGTAACTGAGGAATTTTACTGAGTGTTTACAGAAGAAATGATCCCAATCCTACTTAAGCTTTCCCAGAAGACGGACGAGAACACTCCACCCCCCCCACCCCCGTTCTTTTTGGAAGCTACCGTCAATTACTCTGATACCAAAGCTGCGTAAAAGCATCCCAAGAAAACTACAGACCCATAACCCCTATGAATATGGATTTTTAAAATCCTTAACAAAATACAACAAACCGGATCCAAAAATACGTGAAGAGGATTATTATACCACAATCAGGTGGGATTTATCCCAAGAAGACAAGGGTGGCTCAACATTACAAAGTAAATGAAAAAAACGTATCACATTCGTAGAATAAAGAAAAGACCCACATGACCAGAGAAGGGGATTTGGCAAAACTCAACAAACTTTTATGATGAAAATATTCAGGGAGCAAGGAACATAAGAGACATTTTTCCAAGAAAAAAAATTTTTTTTAAAGAGACATTTTTCCAAATGATAAAGAGCACTAATGAAAAAGCCGACCTTTAACATCAGACTCGATGGAGAATGGTTGAGAGGTTTCCCTTTAAGATCAGGAACAAGACATTCAGAATGAATACAACATTGTTAGTCAACAGTGTACTGCAGATTCTAGCCTAGCAACCAAACAAGAAAGAGAGGTAAAAGTTGTCCCAGTTGGAAAGGAACAGTGAAACTGTGCCTTTCAGCTCATGATATGAGCCTATATACATCTACATATATGTGTACATATACATATATACATATGCATATCAAAGAAGCCACCAGAAAGCTGCTGGAACAAATGTATGAATTCAGCAAAGAATCAAGGTCAAGAATACAAAGTCAACATACAAAAGGCAGTTAGGCCTTCACACATCAGTAATGAGCAGGTTAAACAGAAAATTAAGACTCATGGAAGAAGCACACCAGCCTGTGCGATCACGAGGTGTTGAAGGGATCAGGTATCAGGCGTCATCAGAACAAAAAATCATATCATTGTGAATGAAAGGGGGAGTGCGGAGTAGAGACCCAAAGCCCATTTGTAGGCCACTGGACATCCCCTTACAGAAGGGTCTTGGGGAGGAGATGAGCCAGTCAGGGTGCGAGGTAGCAACGATGAAACATACAACTTTCCTCTACTTCCTAAATGCTTCCTCCCCCCACTATCATGATCCCAATTCTACCTTGCAAGTCTGGCTAGACCAGAGGATGTACACTGGTACAGATAGGAACTGGAAACTGGAAACACAGGGAATCCAGGGCGGATGATCCCTTCAGGACCAGTGGTGTGAGTGGCGATACCAGGAGGGTGGAGGAAGGGTGGGTTGGAAAGGGGGAACCTATTACAAGGATCTACATATAACCTCCTCCCTGGGGGTGGACAACAGAAAAGTGGGTGAAGGGAGACGTCAGACAGGGAAAGATATGACAAAATAATAGTTTATAAATTACCAAGGGTTCGTGAGGGAGGGGGAGCGGGGAGGGAGGGGAAAAATGAGGACCTGATGCAGGGGGCTTAAGTGGAGAGGAAATGTTTTGAGAATGATGAGGGCAATGAATGTACAAATGTGCTTGACACAATGGATGTATGCATGGATTGTGATAAGAGGTGTATGAGCCCCTAATAAAATGATTAAAAAAGGAAGAAAGAAAGAAAATCAAGGAAACAATTCCATTTGTAACAGCGTATGAAGAATATAATATCTAGGAATATATTTAACCAAGGGAATGAAATAATTGTACGTTAATCACTATAAAGCATTACTGAGAGAAATTAGTGAAGACCCTTGGTGGGGTAGTGGTTGTGTGGGGGCTGGCTAACTGCAAGGTCAACGGTCTGAAACGACCAGTTATTCTCCGCGAGAAAGGCGACGTTTTCTACTCTTGTAAAGAGTTACGGTCTCAGAAACCCACAGGGCCAATTATGCCCTTCAGGGTTCTTATGAGGTGGAATCAAGTCAAGGGCAGTGAACTTATTTTTAAAATACATGGTAGAATACTTCATGCTCATGGATTAAGAAACTTAATATTGTCCGATGCTAGCACTCCCGAAAGTGATCTGTAGATACAGTGCAATCCCCATCAAGATTTCAATAACCTCTTAACAGAAATGGGAAAGTCATTTTGAAAGTTTATATAGAAACACAGGAACCCCCCCCCCAAATAGCCAAAACAATTTTAAAAAATAGATTTTAAAACCGTGCTTTCAGTGAAAGTTTCCATAGCAAATCAGATTCCCGTTTGACAAGCCAAAGCAATGGGAAAAATAAAATAGAAAGAACACAGTAGTCGTAGTCACACTTCTCCAAATCAAAGCATATTATGAAGCAACTGTAATCAAAACTGTCTGGCATTGGACTAAGGATAGCCACAGGGACCAATAGCATCTCCAGTGAGAAAATACGAGTCTCAGACATGGTGCTGGGATGACTGGACTTCCACAAACAAAGGAATGAACCTGGACCCACAGCTCACATCCCAGATGAGAACTAATTCACAGTGGATCAAAGACACAAACGTTAGGATGGAAACCCTAGAACCTTGTAGAAGAAACGTTGGAATCAGACTTTAGGATCTAATTTTTAACAAGGGGTTCTTCGATATGACCAGGAGGCTACAAGCAGCGAAACACAAAACACATCAAGAGGACCTCAACAAACATTTAACAACAATCTTACTCATCAAAGGGGTTTATCCAGAAAGTGATGAGACTACTGATGGATCTGGAGACAATTTTTGGAAACCATATATTGGATAAAGGTTTAATGACATGAATATATAAAGAACTCTTACAACTTAAGCAAAGTTAAACAACTGGAGGGAAAAAAAGAAAGCTAAAAAAACCAGCAACAGACATTTCACCAGAGCAGTACAAACAGGCAATGTTCGGTGTCATTGTTATGGGAAAGGCACAGCAAAACCACAACGAGCTACCCGTCCCTTGACACCCACGGAGGCAGCTGCGATTAAAATAAAGGTAAACTGAGAAGCAGTGGGTGTTGGTGGGGACTTGGGGCCGGAGGGCTCCACCCATTGCTGGTGAGGACGCCCTAAGGGTACAGCCATGGGGAAGGTCCACCGTTTCCCAGAGAGTTACACAGACACGGACCGTTTAAAAAGCTTGTGGAAAAATTCTATCGTCTTCCGATTCCATTTTGAAGTCCCCTCATAGGATTCCCCTCGGATCCAGCAGTGCTAGCCCCCAAGAAACGGAGGCCGAGGCACCAGCCGCTGGGTGCTTTCTGTGCCCTGTACACCACCCCCAGGAGGGAGAAGGAACCTGAACGTCCACCAACAGATGAAGGGCCACAAATGGACAGCCAGTGGAGTGGTATCCATCAGCAAGAGAAATGAAACCCTGCCACATGCCAGCCCGTGGGTGAGCCTCGCAAACATCATGCTCATGCCGCCGACCGGTCAGGCAAGCGTGGAGGCAAAGGTTTCTTAGCAGCGACAGGGCCGGAAGGAGGAAGGGGGAAGGAGGGCTCCAGGCCCACAGGCCACAGAGTTTCTGAGCAGGGAGATGGGAGATGAGAGCAACAAGTCGGGTGACGCTTGAACGACACACGTCCCTGAACTGTACAAGTGAAGATGGTCGAAATGAGGGATATCCCCTGCCTGTGTATGGACCACCCTTACAATCCACACACACACAAACGAGGAGGAAGCTGGAGAGGGTGCGCCTTGAGATTAAAAATCAACCTAGGATGCGGTCCCTTGTTTAGCATCTCTCCTCCCCGGTTCAAGCCTGTCCTTGCAGTTCACCTCGGCAGCTTGTTCCTTACACACAGCACAAGCCCTCGGGGGTGCGAGTGTGAGGTCAATGGAGCTTGTGGGCCCCGACAGGTGTGTCCCCACTCCCCCTGGGCCAGCATGGGTGGCCGTGCAGGTGCAGAGGTGGGAAGAGATGACGCTGGCCTCCTCTATCAGATTGCACACTTCCCAAAGGAAGGTTGGGTCTGACGTTCTGCCTTGGCGGCATGTTCATGGGAGAGGAAGAGATGAGGATGTCCACGTCAGGGGCCATGACCTTGGGCATTCTAGGGGGCTGTCCTGCTCTGTCCCACAAGGTGGCGACGAGTTGGAGGCCACTCCACGCCATGTTTTCTGATTGGCTGGTGGCTTTGGTCCGGAGCTCTTTTTATTCCTTTAGTGGCTAAAAGTCTTGACCCAGAGCTCCTCTCAGGCCTGACACCATTCCAAGAAACTGCCTGACACCATTCCAAGAAACTGCCTGCCCGATGGTCACGGAGGAGCCCTGGTGGCAGAGGGGCTAGGCCTGGGGTGGCAGTCTACAAGGTCAGCAGTTCAAAATCATTAGCAGCTCCGAGGGAGACAGAGGGGGCTCTCTACTCCCGTCCAGCATTGTAGTCTCAGCCCCCGACAGGGGCAGCCCGCGATGGGTCGGCATTGGCGCTAAGGCAGTGAGCAGTTAAAAAACAGCCCCTGTGTTATGGAGGTCCCCGAGCTGATGATGTGTTCGATGGCGACGTGAGCTGAGCTATGCCATCAGGCAGGGAAGGGGATAGAAGCATCGCAGCATTAGACTCGGAGTTCAGACGGAAAACGGTACGAGGAGGTGGGAACAGGCCAAATGCCCAGCGCAGAGGAAAGGAGACATCACAAGTGGTCTGGGCATACCCTGGACCTTTCTGGAGCCAAAGAGGGATGAGGTTCTGCAACTGGCCCCAAGGTGACTGGACCTTGAAGATAGCATGCTGACGGAAATCAGGCAGTTGTAAAAGGGCAAATACTGGACGCTCCCACTTACGTAAAATAAGGACGTAGGCACCAAAATGTATCAGTGACTCCTGGGAGAGGAAAGGTGGGGGGAAAGCAAAACAGATGCTTTGCTGTACATATTTTTCAGCACACACACAGTTACATGAAGAAAAATAATAGTAAGTGAGCAGGTCAGAGTGCAGCCTGGGGCAAGAGTGAAACAGAGGCCCGGCTAGTGCAAAGGGCCCGAGCCGTGGTGTGCGTGTGACCTTGAGCCTACAGGGGGCCATGCGATTGGATAAGTGACCGGTGGGAACTAGGATCAGATAGCTATGGAGGGTGGGAGACGTTCCGTTGACGACGAGCGTTGTAGGACATAAACCCAAACCAAACCATTGCCCGTGCGTGGATTCTGATTCCCAGAGCCCCTACAGGACAGAGTAGAGTGGACCCCAGGGGGTTCCCAAGGTGGTCCATCTTTCTAGCAGTTGACTGCCTGATGAATTCCTGCTGATGGATTCCAACCGCTGACCTTCAGGTGAGCAGCCGAACACTTACCCATGATGCTGACAGGGTTCAACTTATAGGTGGACCTCACGCATCACCGTCAAGCTGATTCCAGTGGATAGTGTGACCCCACCGAACGGAGTAGACCTTCTCCTGTGGGTTTCCAAGACTCTTAGCTCTTGACAGGAGTAGAAAGCCTCACCTTTTTTTTTTTTTTGGCCTGGGGTGGCTTTGAACTGCTGACCTTGTAAGCCACTGCACTACCACGGATAGCCTGGTAGCATCTCGTGGGTTCCACATCACAGTGCCCCCGCCCCCCAGTGTCACGGCAGCCTCTCAGTCACAGGAGCCAGTGGTTTCTCTCCCCCCACCCCCCATCAGACATCTACGCCATTGGAGTCGGCAAACTGGATGTGGACTGGAAAGAGTTGAACGAGCTGGGGTCCAAGAAGGATGGCGAGAGGCATGCCTTCATCCTGCAGGACCCGAAGGCTTTGCAGCAGGTCTTTGAACACATGCTGGGTGAGTGAGCGCTGCCCTTTCGGGAGGGGAGCCGCCCGCTGGGAGCTCAGGCTGGGCATCTGGGCACCGGGCCCCTCACTGCCTCTTCCTCCATCTCTCCTCGCACTGATAGATGTTTCCCAGCTCACAGATACCATCTGCGGGGTGGGGAACCTGTCCACCAATGCTTCGGACCAGGAGAGGACACCCTGGCATGTCACCATTAAGGTATCGGGAAGCAGGAGGGCAGGGAGGAGCCTAGAGCTGTAGGGGGGCCAGACACAATGCACCCTGAGTGCATCTGTCCCCCGGCAGCCCACGAGCAAGGAGACCTGCCGGGGGTCCCTCATCTCAGACCAGTGGGTCCTGACGGCCGCTCACTGCTTCCAAAAACTCGAGGAAAGAGACCTGCACCTATGGAGAGTCATCGTGGGTAAGGCTGGGCGTCACCACGGTCGGCGGTCCTTCGGGCTCGCCCTCCGGGGAGCGCAGGGTCAGCCCCAATCCGCCATGTTATTCCCAGGGGACCCCAGCTCCTCGCAGGGCAAAGAGTTCACCATTGAGAAGAAAGTGAGCCCCCCGGGGTTTGATGTCTATGCCAAGAAGAGCCAGGGGATCCAGGAGTTCTACGGCGATGACATTGCCCTGCTGAAGCTGGCCCAGAAAGTGAAGATGTCCACCCACGCCAGGTGCCAGGAGCCTGGGCTGGGAGGGTGCCCTGCAAGGGAGAGTGTCCCGGGGAATCCCGAGAGGAGGGGAGACCAAGGTCACCCTATGAGACCCGCATTCTCCCCAGGCCCATCTGCCTTCCCTGCACGGTGGAGGCCAACCTGGCTCTGAGGAGACCTCAAGAGAGCACTTGTCGGGACCATGGTGAGGGGCTTGCAGGGCAGCGGGGACAGCTGGCCTGGGGCTGGAGCCCCCGGGTGGGAGTCTGGCTTCTGCTAAAGGCAGCAGCACCAACAGCCCCCTCTCCCTGGCTGCAGAGAGCGAACTTCTGAACACGCGGAGTGTTCCTGCCCATTTTACCTCCTTGAGTGGGAACAGACTGGATATTCACCTGAAGACAGGCGCTGAGGTGAGGGTCTCAGGTTGGGTAGCCCTGGGAATGACAAGGACTGTCCCCCCCACCCTCACCCCCCAGGACAGCTTCTGGGACATCTCTTTTCCGCCTGCAGCTCGGACTGCAGTCTCTGTCTGAGCCCCGGGCACCTTCTCCCCAGGCTTAGCTCGCCTGCCAGGCTGCTGTCCCTGGGTCTGCTCATTCCACCCCCTCCTGCAGTGGGCAAGCTGTGGCCAGGTCGTCTCCCAAGACAAAAACTCGTTCCCCAACCTGACCGATGTCAGAGAGGTGGTGACCGAGCAGTTCCTGTGCAGTGGCACCGAGGGTGACGATAACCCCTGCCCGGGTGAGTCCTCCCTCCACCACGGCTGTGTCCCATCCATGCCCCTGTGAGCCGACAGTGGGGCTGGGTAAAAACCAGCGGTGACATTGTCTCCTCTTCCTTCTTCCTGGCAGGAGAATCTGGTGGAGCGGTGTTCCTGGAGCGGCGGTACAGGGTTTTTCAGGTAAGAGGGAGGGGGACGAAGAGCCCCAGGGGTAGGGTTACAGGAGCTTGATGGGGGTGGGGGGTCCTCTGAGGGCAGCTGGGAGACTGATACTGGGGTTGGCTCGTCCCATTCTCTGCCTTCCTCCAGGTCGGCCTGGTGAGCTGGGGTCTCTACAACCCCTGTTGGAAATCTGCCAAATCCTCCCGCCTAAAAGCCCCCCGTGGTCAGGTGCCACCTCCCAGAGACTTCCACATCAGTGTCTTCCGCCTGCAGCCCTGGCTGAGACAGCACCTGCAGGGGGTCCTGAAATTCTTGCCTCTGTAATCATGCCTGGCAGGGCCAGGGTCTTCCATCCCTCCCGTCTCCTACCTCTGAGCCCCCACCCCTGACCCTACGGTCCACCCGCACTCTTGGCCTCCCCGGTTCCAGCAGGAGCAGCAGCTAAGCTGGGGAATCCCCAGGGCTCGCCCCAGCGCCCATGCCTTCGCCTTCGCCCAGGGTCCCCATCTCCCCTCCCCTCCCCTGCTGCCCGCAAGAAAGTCCCCGGCTCCTTTCACTTTCGCATGGAATTTCCCAGTTAGGAAATTAATAAAAGCCAAGGATTTCCACATCCATCTGTTGTCTGCCTGGGGACTGGGCAAGCGGATGATTCCAGGAACTTTGGGAAGGCAGGTCAGAGACCCTGCAGGACAAACAGCCGCTGGACTCTGCCCTCTCCTTGCTGCAGCCCACGGGGGAGC